CCCCACCGCTCAGCCCTGCCCCCATGGCTCAGCCCTCCCCCACCGCTCAGCCCTCCCTCCAGCTCAGCCCTCCAGCTGCTGCACACCCCCTAGACTACAAGAGCCTGTGAACGTTGACTTCTGCACCCTGGAAAGCCAGGAGGCTGGTGTGACTCACTTTATGGGGTGGTCTGCAGCCGGACCTGCAGGGCCAGAGGTCTGTCTGTGTTTGCGTATAGCAGACCTCTTCTATTTCCAAGGGTGCAGAGAAAGGAGCTCAGACTCTGGCAGGTGAAGGTAAATGTCAACCTGCCATTCTAAAGCGAGGCGCCCAGGTCACCATGGAATAACACATCTACCAACCAGGTGTTGTCAACAGGCAGAAATTCTCCTAGACAACCATCCCTTCGGCCAGTGCTTCTCTGGAATGTGCGTGCCTGGTAGGAACACACACCCGGACACCAGGAACACACACCCGGACTCTGTGCCGATGGAGCACTGATATTGTGAGGCCACAGGCCACGATGTGAGGGGCAAGACCTTCAACACCAAGTGCGCTCAAAGCCATGCATATGGGTCTAACGCCTCCTGGCCACTGGGTGAGACTTGCACCAATGAGACCAGAGAACCAGAGGCCCTTGCACAGATTCCCACGCTTCAGTGTGCGTTCTGACCCCCCTTCTGCTTTCAGCTGCTCCGGTCACATTGCTGCTTCCTATCCCTTGGAGAACCCCGGAAGGAAGCCAGAGCCAGGAAGCCTCCCATGCTAGCAGCTGCCGAAGGCTCAAGAGCACCCCAAGAAGCATGGGACACAGGAACCTTCTTGCCTAATAGGACCCCGAAATTAACTGAATGTAACGGCCCCCTGCACAAGTGACTCCGACACAGCGTGCCAGCAGGTGGCTCAGAGAAGCTCTGTGAGGCTAGGGCAGGAAGGCCAGGGCCCAGACGTGGCAGGAGTGGGCGGGGCGGCCAGGAGGATTCCCCGCGTCATCCAGGTGCCCGGTGGCTGGTGACGGGTGGACGTCCTGGCCCCGGTGGCGCCCAGCTCAGCACGGAGTTGACCCGGGCTCACCCTCCAGAGAAGATCTTCTCCACGTAGCTGCGCATGAACTCCCGGAGCGCCAGGGTCTCCTCGTCCTTGGCCGACTCAGTGCTCTGGTTGGAAGAGAAGGACTCGTTGGAGGAGGAGCGGCGGTCCTGGTCCCAGGGCGGGTGCAAGGGCGACTCGCCCATGTCGTTCTCGCTGTCCGCTGACTCTGTGGTTTCGCTCTCTGAGCCGCCATCCCCCTGGGAGCCGTCCCTGTCCTGCAGCTTTGCAGAAAGCGCCTCCACGGGCGAGGCGGCCGATGGCTCGGTCCCGAAGTCGATCAGCGACCCCACGGGCACCTCCGGGGCCTCCATGGCTCGGGCGTGCGGCGGTGGAGTGGGCAAGGTGGGCGGCGGGCAGGCTCTCCAGCTGTCAGTGGGAGCCAGAGGCCCGGCACGAGCCCGCCAAGCACATGTGACCGGCCACAGCACTGGTGGCCGCCAGGAACAGTCGGCTGGGGCAGCTCGGGGGACACTAAGGCATCTGGAATGGAAGCACAGAGACAGGTGGTCACTCCGGGAGCTACTCTGCACAGAAGGGACACTGAGCCCCAAGCTTCACCACGCAAACGAACAAACCAAGTCAAACATTTCCTGTAAAGAAAGTGCCACCGGTCCAGAACCTGGCCACGTCGACACGACATCATTCTCCCACACTCTCCTGTACCGTTCATTACCTGGAACTGGGGAGCACCTCAGAAACACACGGGGTCTGTGAACAAGTAACATGGCACTAGGATTTCTCCAAGCTAAGTGGACGGAAGTCAAAGGCCCCCCATCTGCTGCGCCTCCCACTGCAGCCGCCCCGCCTGGCGCCATCAGCCAATACAAAGACCCCTCTAGGCTGGAAATGGAAAGTCACGGAGGCACCACCAGCTGCTGGCTTTCACTGGGACCCGTGGCTATGGAGGTCATCAGGGGTCAGAAGAGCACCCTCTGCTCAGCGTGAGGCGCCTTTGGCCCCAGGCTTGTGTCCCTCCCTCTGGGCCCCTTTCTTAGCGTTTCCCCCGCAGACCCCCAGGCTTCCCAGGCAGTCATGCCACAGCCCTCTGGACATCCCACGCCGGCCCTCTGTGGCTCTGCCACAGAGGTTTGCTGCGGAGACCCAGTGCCCTCGCCCCGTCCACAGCCGCTGCAGCAGGCTGCTCTCTCCAGCTCCTTTCTGACAGGCCCTTCCAGCTCCCTCTCCTCTGCCACACTCATCCCTGCCCCCCCCCATGCTAGTTGTCCTCAGGGACAGCCTTGGGGGCCACCTCTTCACAGAAGCTTTGCTCCACCCCACTCAGAGCTGCTTACTGATGCCTCGGTGGCTCCTGCGTGCCACTGACGCTCAGGCTCATTCTGAGAGGTGATGTGAGTGGTTTGTTTATTCCACTCAAGTGCATGCCCCTGGAGGGCGGCCTCGGGCCTTTTCGTAGCAAGCTGGGACTGGAATCCTGCTTGCCAATCCGGGGGCCCCTGCCCTCTCTGCCCAGGGTTGAGCAGGAAGGTTGCGCCCTCTGGAGGCTCCCTGGGACGGGAGCACAGCATGGGTCACATCCCTGTCCTCACCCTCTGCAGACCCCGGGAGGCAAGGACCCCCGGGAGGGCAGGCCTGCTGAGGGTGCGGCGCTAACTCATCTTCAGAGAGCGGCTCAATGCCCTAACTGCAGCGTCTGCCTGGGAAGGGCTTAATGCTGGCAAATCGATGACGGGTCCCCCAGTTCCCCAGCACAGTGTATTTTTAAATGCCCTGAGTCAGACAGAGATGAAGGGCTACTTCTGTATCACCGGAGCAGAAATGGCACCTGTCCAGTAGCTCCTACAAAGCCTGCCTTGGTCCAAAACAAAGAAGCTTAAGACTCAGATCAAAAGTACTTCTGGGTCAAGGGAGCAGCAGGGCTCCCAGTCACAGAGCGTGAGGGGGTGGGGGGAGGCATGCAGAGCAGGGCTGGGCCAGCCTCAGCTCCCCTCTTGCCGGCTGTGTCCAACTGCCGGGGGGTCTCCCCATCTGAGCCCCGAGGCCCGGTTACATCCTTAAGGTCCTGCGGCAACTGCATTCTCAGACTCCTGGCTGGGCAGGTCAACCTAGGACCGCAACTGACATTAACGATGGAGACCATACACTACGAAGATGGCTGCAATCAAGATGACAGGAGAACCGAGTGCGTCCCGTCTGTGTTATCATTCACCCAGGTCCGACTGAAAACCATCGACATACTGATGTACAAACTACTCAGATAAGCAAGACACCCTGCTTCACAGCCACACACATGCAAATTAGAACTACTGCAGAAATAACAAAAATTTTAAAAGTATGATACAAATGCCGAGTTTATGGTAAAGCTAATATTCTCAAACAATCTTGGCAGTAAGGACAAATAAGCCTTTAGAAAACAATTTCTCTTATTTTTCTCTCCGCAGATCCAGCTTTCCAAGAGCTTGGAATTTATCCTAAGAAAATTAGTCAAAGCACTCAAAAACAGTAGCCTGGAGAAAAATTCTTACCACAGCATATTTACAATCATGATAAACAGAGTCAAATTGAAGTACAGGAACATGGCGATAGGGCAGTCGGTGTGTGATGCCACTGGAAGATGCGACTGTGTACAGCAGTCGGCAAGAGGCCGGAGGCCGGACGGCCAACCGGCACTCCCTGGGCCCGTGGCCGGGGCCGCCTTCAGCCCTCAGCACCTGGAGTGTGTGCATTTTCATTTTAGCAATAACGACCATTTTGTATACACACAGAAAAGACCTGGCACAGAGAAAAATTATTGCAATCTGGCAGTGAGGTCATTCCCCCCCCTTTCATTTTGTTCAGTAGCATCCCAACCCAGTCTGCAAGCTGAGAACACAGAGGGAGAGGAAAGCGGCCACCACCTCTCGGCACATGCTGCGTGGCCTGGAGGACTGCAACTCTGTACCACACAGAACCCACAGCACAGGAGGCCCAAGGTCAGACCAAGGTCATGGCGATTTTGGGCCTCACTCCAGGCATTCTCTGTGGCTGGCAAGCTCTCCCTGTGCATGGAGCTTGGAGGTCCTGGAAGGGCATGAGTCACCCTTTCCAGAAGCCTCCTCTGTGGGCACACAAAGAAGGGGGCACAGTGACAGGGAGAGGCCCAGCAGGAGGGCTCTGTGCCACCAGGGCCCCTCGGCCCTGGCAAGTCCCCTCTCCCGGGAGAAGCAGCATCCCCAGGCCTGTGCACAGGGCTGAGCTGCCCGGCGTCAGGGGACGGATCATACTTTCTTCCTCCAGGGGGAAGGAAACTAGGCGACCCCCTCAGGACCAGGGGACGGTCACTCTGAACACAGCAGGGTGCATCCCACACATGACTACCGGCCAGAAGATGCAGGAAATGGCCCACCAAGCCCTGGGCAGGGGGGCCCGGCACTGTCATGAAGGCTGAGCCCTGTGACGGGCTCAGGGATGCGGCTGCTCCCAGGAGAGGGCATGTCAAGCGCCTCGCAGAGACTGCTGGACGCCACCGCATGCTGCCCCCAGCTCGGCAACACCGGCAAGCAGAGCAGGTCTGGCTGGCTGCGGGAGGGGGGGGGGACAGACCCATGGTTTAGACTCCTGGTCTCTGGGGCTATCCTGAAATAAGTGACCTTGGTCAATTATCAGGTTGCTGTCGCCTGTTTTTGTCCAGCTATCAGGTGACATCATTGTGAATGCTTTCCAAGAAAAGCATGCCTCACTGAAATAGAGAAACCTTTCAACCCACAGTCAAACAATGGCAACAAGGGAAAAAACGCAAACCATCCACAGACCCAACCCGCCCCTGGGCATCAGTCTCCACCCAAGCAGTCTCAGAATTGCAGGGTAAGGGGGGCACTGCCACAAATCAGAAGGACCCCACTGGGCTGCCTGGGGCTGCCTTGGGGCTGCAGAGCCCACCTGCCAGTGTCCAGGTCAGCAGTGGTCACTGACCAGGGCACAAAAGCGCCCTCCGTCCCCCTGAAGCACAGCTACGAGACCTCGAGGACTTCCATCTGTCCGCCAGGGGCTGCACAATGCAGCCCGAAGCACCGGACAAATCAACCCACTCATCACTGGGTGACAACCCACCCTGGCTGGGTGACAGGTGAGCTGGCCTCAGAAGCAGAAAGAGCTTTCTGGCTGTTTGGGGCTGTGACGCGATGGTGGTTCCAGTGAATGGATATATGTCAAAAGATGTGTCAACTATGTCCTTTTCGACATCATGTCGGGCAGCTGCTCAGGTGGGACCGTTTCAGCAGTGTGGACCTAGGGCAACTTGCAGGCCAGCAGAATTGAAGAAACCTGTTACTGTCATTGCGCGATGATGTAAAAGCAAAAGCAAAGGCAACGAAAGCAAGACAGGGAAGCAGGCTCGGCCACAACATTCACTTGCGCATCGTCCTCTGTGGAACATTTTCTAGAAGCTAAAGTTAAAAATAAAATCGTCAAAAAGGTCCTTATATAAAAAGACACCGACGACTGTGACAAAATCACAAGTTTCTTAAAAGGCTCCAGAGAAGACTCAGAGGCACTGAGACCCATTGTTTAAGATGCTGAACCCTAAAGACAAGCCTGGAATCACTTCAGTCTGCTCTGGCTGGAGCAGGCTGAAGGTGAAGGTCAGAGCTTGCGGGTGACCCAGGGACAGAGAATCACAACCTGGAGACACAGCGTCGGCTCATCCCTGCCAGTCCCTCGCTCTCAAATGCTGTGTGCCAAAGGGCTTCTGGCTGGTGTAGGCCCACTCACGGCTGAGCTCTCTAGGGAGCACTGTAAGTGCCAGACCGGATCTCATAACCTCAACGGGGTCACTACAGTCCTGGCAGAGAGTGTGTGTGCCAAAGAGGATGGCGTACCCTCAGGGCCAGACAGCGGGGGGTGGGGGGGTCTTCAGGCCTGCGGGGGCTGCTGGAGCCCCAAAGGTCAGGATGATGGCGGCCCCAGCTTTTTTGCTCCACGTCAGGCTCAGTCCCGGGTCACCCCGAGATGCCTGCCTGCTGGAGGCTGTCTCCCCAGGAGGGAGCTGCGCCTTGCAGTGAGGACAGGGAACGCACTATGTGATGAGACGGCAGGTGCTCTGGGCACGCGGTGCCCCACCCCCCTTCGGAGTGTATGACACAATGGTGGCTCTTACAGAGGAGGGGCTCCGAGCCCAGGCATACAGTGGCCAGGCTGCCCCGTGCAGAGCCCACGGGGACGGTGTCTCTCCCCATGGGGAGAGGGCCCACCCAGGCCCCCCTACCACCGTCAGCAACTACTCAGAGCTGAAAGGAGACAAGTGAGCGAGAACTTGGGAATCTGGAGTCGGGCGCAGTAGCCACGCTAGATGATGACACACTCGGGACCCCAGAGAGATCCTGGCAGCCTTCCGCGGCAGGCTGAGTGTAAGACACCTCTGGGTTGGGGAGAATTAATTTTATGGTGCTAGCAGTTACATGCCTCCCACACGCCGGTGTGGGGACAGAGGGGATGGCAGCGGAGTCTGTCCTTGCATGACTCCTAAATTATTAGGGAGCCTGACG